CTATCCCCAAAATGGGCGGTCTTTCCCGCGTGGTACCCACGTAAGACCCCGCCAAAGTTTTTTATGAGTAAGCTGCTAAGTCGCGAACCAGAAAAGCTAGAGAGCTGAAATTTTATGGAATGTTCCTCGTCCGAGTAGGTACTGACTCGGGGTTCAGAGATGCTAGAAAGCTGAAATTTTAGGGGAATGTTCTCCGTCCAAGCAGGTGCTAACGAGCTCTTCTGAGATGCTAGAGAGCTGAAATTTTATGGGAATGTTCCCCGCCCAGGCAGGTGCTAATGAGCTCAATCTAGAGAGCTGGAATTTTATGGGAATGTTCCTCGTCCAAGCAGGTGCTAATGAGCTCAAATCTAGCTTCAGAGATTCTAGGAAGCTGACCCGCGCAAATTCATAACTCGGGGTTCAGAGATGCTAGGAAGCTGAAATTTTAGGCGAATGTTCCCTGAAAGCTAAAATTTTAGGGGAATGTTCCTCGTCCAAGCAGGTGCTAATGGGCTCAAATCCAGACCCTAAAAGCTAGAGAGCTGAAATTTTATGGGAATGTTCCCCACCCAAGTAGGTACTAATGAGCTCAAATTCAGCCCCCGGGTTGCGTAGTACCCGCGTACGAGCCCCCCAAAATTTTTCCCGCGTAAATTCATAACTCGGGGTTCTGAGATGCTGGCAAGCTAAATTTTAGGGTAATGTTTCCTGCCTAAGTAGGTGCTAATGAGCTCAAATCCAGCCCCCAGGTAAGCGTGGTACCCGCGTACGGACTCCCTAAAATTTTTCCCTCGTAAATTCATAACTCGAGGTTCTGAGATGCCAGAAAGCTGAAATTTTAGGGTAATGCTCCCCGTCCAAGCAGGTGCTAATTAGCTCAAACCTAGCCCCGGAGTAAGTGTGGTACCCGCTTACGGGCCCCCCAAAATTTTTTCCGCATAAATTCATAACTCGGGGTTCTGAGATGCTAGAAAGCTGAAATTTTGAGGGAATGCTCCCTGTCCAAGCAGGTGCTAATGAGCTCAAATCCAGCCCTCGGGTAAGCGTGGTACCCACGTACAGGCCTCCCAAAATTTTTCCTGCGTAAATTAATAACTCGGGGTTCTGAGAAGCTAGACAGCTGGAATCCTAGGGGGGTGTTCCCTGTCTAAGTAGGTATTAACGAGTTCAAACCCTGCCCGCGGGTAAGCGTGCTACCTACTTACAGGCCCGTAAAAAGTTCCTTCCGGGTAAGTTTATTACTCGAGAACGTGAGAAGCTGGAGGACTGGAATTTTGAGGCGATGTTTCCTGACAGTTCTGGCGGCTAGTCTGAAATTCT